GTTTTATGTTGAATGCCAAGGGACCAAGTGTGGTTGAAAGCCATGACCTCTCCAGCTACCCATTTTTTCAGAGGCTGTCTTTCCTTTCCCTGATCTCATTCATGTTGCTATGGAGTTTTGCAGTGCTCCGCTTGGAGGCTATTTACACGTTACTTACATGTGCTTTCAAATGATTTAATGAAACGTATACAAACTCTTACTGAGATGATCTCTGATTTATTGATTGTCTACAGTGTGCTTGGAAAGATATAAACACTGGGGAAGATTTGGTCTCTTTTCCCAAAGAGTTATAATCGGCTTTAGCAGAACAAATCAGGCCAAAATGTAGCCTGCAAGAGCTTTGGCTTAAAAAACTCCAACAAAAATAAAAGATGAAAACTGCCTTAGTCTGAAGATTTAATAGAATTTGAGTGATGGAAAATGGAATGTGTATTTCAGCCAGTATCAGTATGTTCCAGTGCTTTATTCATTTGTCAGGTGTGAGAAAAGGGAAGATGATTGTTCCCTCCCTGACTGCTCTGCAGGTGCTTGCACCACTTTACTTTGGTTTAACAACTTACCATGTGTCATAAAAACTGCAGTAAGTTGCCTGGGAACATTTTCTTAGTTCACAGCAAATACAAGCCAATTTAAGCTACAGTAAAAACATTAAAAGTATTGTCCCAAGTTGCTTTTGCTGCAAGTAAAAAGCATGCTTACAGGCAGCTACTAGGTCTCAGCTGTTAACTGGGGGCTTCTAATTTATGGATCTGAACTTTAGCTTTCATCCACAGTTCTGTTGGACCAGCCTCTGCTTAAGAGATTTGCCAGGATAGCTATGTTAACAAAACAGTCCTGGTGTAGACTCATCTTTTACTGAAGGAAAAGTGCATTTGCTAATAAAGTTTATCAGATCTGTTGAGTGAAATAAGCCAGACCAGTAAAAGGACTTTGAAATTCTTGAGCTTTCACTGCCAAAGCAATGTCAGTTATATCTAATTAGTGTATCTATACCAGCGAAGTCTCATACTGGAGAGTTTGCCTTAGTTTCGTTTAAATTCTTGTCATTGTCCCTCTCGACATTGAACCTATGAATGGAAAATGGTGAAGGTGGGAACATTCACAGTGTATGCACTGCAGTCCCGCAGTCAATAGTGCTTGAATGGATTAAGCATCCTTCTGTAATGACTTTTTCACCTGCAAGTAACTCCATTGATTTCAAGTGAGTTTCTCACATGAAGAAATCTTCATCATATTCAAACCTAAAATATGATGAGAAAATAGAGCTCAGAGTTCAGATTTAACTACACTTAATGCAAATACCTTTCACATGCATGGAATACTGTGGTATAATGCGATTTTGTCCATTGTATATGCTGATGACAGGTTTAAGTGCTTAGTCAAATCATTGTAAAAAATTATTCATAATGGTATAGAACTGTGAGTTTAGGTTATAGATCTTTAGCCCATTAAATATTACGTATAATTTGCTGGGGGAGATCAGTGCTGTGTTTTGCAATCTCCAACTTCAATGCTTTCTGTACACCTGTCATGGCTCATTAAGCCTAGAACACACAATAAATGGGAATGTCTTTCTCTTTTATTATTGTTCTGCTCCTGATTCCCTTCATTACTAGTCTGAGTGCTGCAGAATCCCTCAAACATGTTGCAAATGTAACGAAGCTCTGACACTGGTAAGTTGCCTGGAGCACATAATGATTGCAAGGCAAGACTGTCTGCTTCAGTCAGGTTGCCATGAGGATGGAGCAGCATATCAAAGCCTTTTCAGAAATCTTTGTCATGCTCTTGTGCTACAGAGGTTATACCTCTTATACGGTGAGACAAAGTCTGCTTTTGCTCACACCTGGGTGGCTTACCCACCTTCATAATAAGCTGGATTGTAAAGTCAGTGTAAGCCTAGAGAAGTGAGAGCTAAGCATGTCTAAGGAAGCACCAGCTTTGCAGCCTGGGGTGTACCAAACCTTCTAATGGCATCCTTGAAGTTTTCTATTGTTGCTAGTAAGCATAGGTAAGGCTACAAACACTCTCTGTTGCCTGTCTGCTGTGATGCTCTGCTGTATTTACTCTGGGCTCACATTTGGCCCCTGTTCCCAGATCTCTTCAATGAAGTGCTGTTGATATATTTGCTGGTCACAGGTTTAGAAAAGCTTGTCAGAAATTCTGGCTCTAAATGCTATGGTGCAGGTTCAGGCAGAAGAGGTGGCTAAAGTCTGTCGTCACACTCTGCTTTGCCTTTAGCTCTGATGATGGAGAATATAAAGTCATTCCTGCCACGATGAATTATGTTATGTGTTTAAAAAATAATAGATATCTATGACTGAGTAATGAAATTCGGTATAGATTTGCTAATTTAATAGGTCAGAATGGTGCACTTGTAATAGTGATGTCTTATTTAATTGCTATATTAACCTGCAGTTTAAAGCTAGCTCAAAAAGGTGTGGTAACTGGAGTTTGTAAAGCACAGAATATATTTCCATGCAATCTGCTTTTCCTTGCTTTAGCAAATGTACTTGTGCTCCGGCATCAGTTTTAGACCAGGGAAAGGGGAAAGCACTTGCGCTTAGTGTGGGCTTCAGTAGTACCATGGGGTAGAGAGTTGCTTGACTGCTAAAGGTGCAGCAGATGAGGAGGATTTGTACCACCTTCTTTCACTGACACACTGCATGCTGTCTGTCTGAAACCTACCTGAGCAATAGGAACCTGTGAGACTGCTGAGATCTGGGAACAGATGTTTTTGTGATGTTTCCAACACATCACGCTTCTGGTTGGTCTGGAGTTGTGTGAGTACAGCCTGTTCCTCTTTGGTGGATTCGAAGTCTGGCTGAACCATACTGCTAGGATGGAGCCCATATGAAGCTGGGGGAGTGGGAGAGGCGCAGAGGAAACATGAGTTGCTTGTGTGGATTTCTGGTGTCTGTGTGAGAAATATCCTTTCAGCAGTAGCCAAAGATGAAAAGCGATCCTTAAGCCTGATCTCCATCTTGAGTTCAGACCATCAGCAGTTGGTTTGGGCTCCTACAAATCTCAGTTAAATGCAATGGTAGCACAATCCTTCTGGCTGCTTCAGCTAAGCAAAGCCCTCAGTGCAAACCCTAGTGCTTAGCAAGAGCCCCACAGAGTATTTCTGCTTCACTAGCCATGCAGCTAGTACAAAGAGAGGGAACAGCAACATTCATTTTGCAAAAAGCAAAGTATTCTTGCCACTCTATAAGTACAATTCCTACGTATCTCTCTATAGGAATAAAAATCAGAAGAAATCTCTGTAGAAGAGAGTATTTAATCCTCCAGTTTTCATGTTCTTCTGTGGGCTGGATTCCCATTCATTTTAGTAGGAGGTTCATACATGTTATGTGGACACCGGAATGTGGTGCAGATAGAAATGACAGTTCTGCCTGCGGTGACATGAGATGGTAATGACACACCTCATTTTCAAAAAGGTGATTTGTGATTGCAGCAAGGCTGGTCAGTCTTGAGTTGTCATTTAGGGTTCTGCTCTCTAGCAGTCAAATAATTCTCTGGGTAAATAAACAAAGGAACATGCCCTCCATGACGAAAATGCAGATATTCCTTTAATTAATTCTCTCACTCTCTCTTCTTTCAATTTATGTTTTAAATTAAGTACTGGCTGGGCTTTTGAGCAGTTGAAATGAAGGATTCCCCATGCTAGTTAAATAAAAAGTCCCTTCATAGTCATAGAATAAAAGGGAAGGGCTGGGAAGAAAGCAGGTCATGGCTAGGGATGCACAACCTCTGGAACTCCCACCCCTCAAAGAGACTCTCACTGAGCTTCCCAGCTGAGTGGAGTAATGTGTGGAGCTCTGTTTGCTGTTTTGTTTGATGTCCTCTTTATTTCCTGTTTGTTGAGTGATCTGAAAGTAAAACAACCAGCCCAACCAACCCAGGAAAAAAAAAAAGTGCTTTTAGAATTCTAAATGGGGCGCAGCTGTGTAAGCTGGACTGCACAGACACTGACTGAGATTGCCAAAGAGACACGTGTCTTGTATCCTTTGCTCTGTGGGTGCTCAGCCCTTGCAGAGTGGTTTCTCTCTCTTCTTCCTCTGTATCCCCTCTTTTGAAAGCATCTCTAGCAAGAAACTCCATTAACTCCTGAGCACAACCTCTTTTCATGTCCATGTCTACCAGAGCTAATGCTACTGGGGATAAGAGAGGCTAAGTAGGGATACTGAAAGCACAGATGGAAATGTCACATCAGTTGTCCATAAAAGTGTAATGTCAGTGGTCAAGGGTAAAGGATTTGCAGGATACATTTCTCAAAGCACCTTTTGTTATTGGTACTGGAAGACAAATGACCCACAGGGACATGACATGACTGTTGTCATGGTATGACTTGCAACAGGTGTGCTAGAGTTATAATAAATTATACAGAGTTATAAACCCAGTCACAAAGTCCTTTATATCAGCTCTGAGCTGAAAGTCAAAACACCGCACTGCACCAGCCACCAAGAAGGGGAATAATGACTGCCACTGCCGAACCCAGGACACCTGTGAATGATGCAACAACAACAAAATCCTTCCTCACCTTCCATGATGCTACCTGAACACAGTTTATGCAAGATGCTGTCTTGAAAGTATTTGCTTTGCTTGGGAGAAGGCGATAAAAAATAGAAAGAGAAACTCAAACAACCAATATAAAAGTTACACTACATAAAAGTAGGCTCCTGCAGACAACAGATAGATAAACAACCATGCACCTCAGCATTGAAGATGATAATACTTAATTTCAAATAAAATCTATTACTGCTCAAACCCTGAGTGTATTGACAAAGGCTTTGCTCTTTTCAGTCGACTGAACAGTACCATGTGAAGAGGGGAAAAAAAAAATCAAACAATATCTGTGTGCATTCAAACTTTTTTAAAGAAACAGCAGGAAAGAATTCACTGATCTTTCCCAGCGCAACTTTATGAAGGGCAGCACAGGTAAGGAAAAAAAAAGTTTTTCTTTCCAAAAGAAAGATGTTATCCTCTCACTTACCATTCAGAATCTTCTAAGTACTTGATTGCTATCTCTATAGATATGAAAACTGGGTTTGAGAACACATTTCTAGGCTGTTGCCAGTCTCTTCAGTGAATTCTGTAAGTCACTCTATGTTTTGCTTCACCTTTGCCATCTGCAAAAGACTGTCTGGTGGAAAGCACTATTCAAGAGCTATTTTCTGTATTTATTTGCAAAAGCTGTTCCATGCAGCAGATAGCACTTTCCCTTCCTTGCCTTCTGCTTGGCATGAGCAGAGCATAAAGGATGAAGCTCAGACATGTGCAATGGCCCCAAAGGTAGGTGGGGAATGCTTCTTGGTGGTAGGACACTTGGTCACCGAGGGCCCAGCCCCATGGGTGCTGCTCCTAGGGTATCACACTTGCAGAGGAAAGACTGGAGGAGCCTGTGGGGACCCTTGCTTTGTATGGAGGGAGAGGGGAAGGAGGGGACCAGGCCTTGGAGCAGGCTCAGCAGGCTGCTTGGGAACCAGCGAGTAGGGAAAGGAGAGGGAGCCGAAGGCAACCACTGCCATAGCCGTGTTGGCACGATGTCAGCAAGAGCAGTAGCGACTTGGACCAGCTCTCCGCTGTGACCCTTCCCGACTGCACCGCGGGGCCGCTGCGGTCACCACGGCAACAGCGCATCCCTGTGGCGCGGTTGCCTGGTGACGGCGGCGGGGCCGAGGCGGCCGCAGAGGGTGAGCGGGGCCGGACCGAGCCCCTCCGTCAGCGGCTGACCCGGGGCTGGGTCTCCTCGGCCTGGCTGGACGCTTTTCCCAGAGCACAACCCCTCCTGATGGCCGGCGCCGCAGTGGCAGCCGTGCGGAGGTGCGAGTGTGGCACCAGGATGGGAGCAGGCGTGGCAGGTCCTTGTCATAGGGAGGGCTGCATCACCCAGCCGGCATCCCAGAGGAGAAGCAGGTGCTGCTGATGTGTAGCAAGGGGACTAAGCTGTTCCCACCTCCATCCCAGCAAGGATCCTCACAGAGAATCTGGCATAGGATGTGGCCATGGGTAAAACTGGGGGGCTCTGACTGGGCAGATGTGGGCACGCAGGCACGCAGGAAGGTGTCCAGCAGGGGCCCAGTCTTGCAGGCAGCTCATTCTGGGGTCTCTTCTTCTCTGCACCCTCCATGCTGCTGAGCACATCAGTCATGCTATCGACATGTGCTGACCAGTGTGCATGGAACTATACAGGTCAGGCAGCCCTGGCTATCCAGTGCCTGCAGGACTAGAAGAGTTCTACAGAAGCATCTCCACATTCCTTCTCCCAGGCTCCCACCATTTGTGATTCAGGGACTTCCTGGCATTTCTAACAGTCCTATGAGTGTGCAGTGACCTAGGACTAGGACTGAGCATCCATCAATTGCTGGCCCAGCTGAATGCAATAACTTGATCATGTGACTCAGCCCCTGATTGCACATACTCTTTATTTAATTCCCATAGGCAACTTACGTAATGGAAGTAGAAACTTACTTGTATTTAATTCCTGTGGAAGTTTTCTTTCCGTTTAAAAATATGAAATTATCTGTTTCATTTAGTTCATACATCCATACTCTTGAGAGAGTCCATGGACCTGGAAAAGGTATTGTTTCAGCAGGTACTGTATCTGTATGCACTCTTGACTTCCACACATCTTTCTCAGTATCCTTCAAAACAGCATAGCTCTAGCATTAGATGTCTAGGGTCTTTCTTGCCCTCCTCCCCCACCTTGTCTTTTATTTAAAATTCTCAAACTGATCCCAGGAAATCCAGATGAGATGAAAGCTTTCAGCTCTAATATTCTAGATGCAAATCTTATTAAATTCCAAACCCCAAACCAAGCAACATTGAACACTGGGAATAAAACCAAAATGAAGAAGATCAATCACTCTCAAGTCAGTTTAACAGCTCATACAGACATATTCTCTCTGGTCTCATCAAATTCATATTAATGGACAAATTTGCCTCTTGGATAATATTCTATATGTTACACTGTGTAATGAGAAACTAATTGGAACTAGTAGGCAACATGCTAATATTTGTGGTGTTCAAAAATCAGTCACAGCTCCAGCATTTGAGGAAAAACCTATTTATTTCAGAGTTGTTTCCGACTGTGACTTAACAAAACTTGCTTCTGGATCCTCCTTCCCCCAGACTTCCAGGTTCTGGGAAGCTGAACTGCTTGCAGGTACTTAAAAGAAATATTTAAGGTCACAAATCTAAGCAGTGAACATAAGCCTGCCACCTGCCTCAGGCTAATGTCAGCATTAGGAAACTGCAAGTGTGTAGTTATCCTAGCCTTGAGGAAAAACTGAAGGATGGTACTTGGAAAAGACAGCATGGAACAAGGACTGCATATTTCTCCAAGACAAGGCTGTATGTGCCCTGTATGCATATGTGGGGGTGCATGCCCAGTTCACAGGTTGCATTAAAGTCTTAAAGTTTGACTTCAGAAGCTGAACATGGCATTTTGAAAAAGAAAGAAATTCATCCCCTCAGAGGAGTAAGCATTCACAGGAGCAGCTGATGGAGAATGTTTGCCTCACATTTAACCCCCTGGGAAGCTGTTCCCAGCTAACTATGCCCTCGGTTATATTTGTAACTTAGTTAGCTTTTGGGTAGCTGTAAAGCAAAACCTTATTCTAAATCAGAAATCTATTCTGTCTAGGTGTGGTCTGGTTTACACTCTTGGCTGCGATTGTGAGACAGAGACACCATCTCCAGAATGGATCTTGGAGCCCTTTTCTGTGGTTTTGTGGGGAGAGCACTTGGAAACTTGGTCACCTGTCTGCAAATATCTGACCATGTGGTGGTACTTGGTCCAGGAATGGGTGAAGCTCATTCAGACATTGGTTATGAACTCTGTGTCCTTTTAACTCCTTTTCAATTTAGCATACTTTTCATGATCCCACCTCCTTGTTCTCTGGATGTGTCTGTACATATTGCTGCCAAAGGCTTTATGGCTGGGTATTCCTGCTTTGATTGATAAGTAACCATTAATCACCTGTGGTGGCCCCTCACTTCTTGTTCCTTGTTCCTCGTTCCTCACTTCCTGTGTTACTGTTTTATCATGGGAGTCATGAAGAACTGTAGAGAGGAGAATAAAACATAGTGTCTTCTAGCTGCAGATCTTCTTCTGAATAGTTTCCCATGTTAAATGCATGAAAATTTTTGAATCCTTAGAGATTTTTGTAAAAACAAGGTCTGAATACTTGTGACTGACACTTGTTGCCATGCCAGAAATCAGTCTGACAAATTCAACCTTTTGTCTCTGAATAAAATATTCTTATCTTCAGCCTGGTTCCAAATAGGCTCATGGGAATGGAGAAAAAGCTGAAGAAAAATACACTTGCTAGCCTGTAAGCCAGTCCCCCCTCTTTCCAAATCCCAAAGCAGGAGAAAGAAAAGAATGCAATAAGGAGATACTCGGAACTCTTACAGACATATTCAAAGACTGGTCCCTTATTCTTTTTTAGCCATTGGATTACATTAATTGGCTTAATAAACTTTAAACACTGAAGACAATGAAAGTCTAGACTTTTTGTCATAGGGTCAGTAGTTCAGACTATTTCTCTTCTGACATCTGACTCTTAATTTTCTCCAAGTTTATATTCCACTAAGAAAAGCTGCCAAAGTTTATTGGCCCGATTGGCTCATTTAATGAAAAATGAATCTCACCCACACACTAGAGCAATGGGGATTTCCTCTAATACAGTAGATGTCAGCCATAACAAGTCTCTATTAATAATTAACTGAGCTCCTGTTGGAACTGCTTGAACAATTTCCTTTGCTTCTTGTCAAGCACCATTAATGTGCAGTAGCCTCATTTAATCTGACTGTGTCATGGGCAAGTGCATCTGTCCTGTATGATTTGACCACCCTTTCACCATTTTCCCTATGGCACAATTTGAAGCCTTTAAAGAAGTGCCCGTAAGTTCAGTTTTGTCATGTTGATTTGAAATAGTGAAGACTTAACCGCTGGAGTGGCATGGCAGGTTTGCTGTTTTTTTTTATTCTGGCTAATGAAAGGTGTTTTAATGTCTGCTCACCTTGCTCTGGTAGCACACCTTCTTTCAGGTGAGAGTGCTATAGCCGTTCTATTTTCTCTATGGCTCAGGACTTAAGGTGATGCATTGTGTTGGGGAGTAAATCAGGTGCATGGTGTCTGCATGGTGTCTCTTCTACCCTTGCTTCTTCAATGCTTAGGCTGGGATAAGTGGTATTTCAGTGCTGTCTTGTATATTCAGGGCTCTGTGTCATCTCTCAGCACTGTTCAATGGCTAAATGTAGGGCAGGGTTGCGCTTTCTGGGGATATTTGTGGTGGAAGGCAGCAAGAACAGATGCCTCTGTCACAGCCTTGAGTCTGAAAGACCTTTGTGGCTTCCCACATAGACTGAAATGAACTTGACAGAGTGTATTTAGACCAAATAGTCCCCTGCTCCTTGGCTGACTCCTGACTCTCCAGATTGCTCCAGGATACTGATTATGGCCGTTGCTTAAGCTGGTGATCAGGAGTACTTGGGCTGACAGCACTACTGTCAAGAACCAAGAAATTCCAAGTCCTAGACATAGCTGGAGGGATTTTATCAGCATAAACATGGCAAATCCTAACAGAGTTGAACACTTGTCCCTGTCAGCCCTGTTAATAATAATAATGTGTTAGGCTGGTCAAGTAAGTGGGCTACTCAGAGTCAATCAGTGAGGAAATGGTGATATGACTCATTTCTTACACTTGCTCTTAATCACAACTGTACTGAGTCTCAGCTGCTTAGAAGAGACCTAAATCAGTTTTAAAGGAACACAGGAAGAAAGTAGTGTTTCATTCTCAGGTCAGCCCTCTTTGCCAACCACTATTTTCTTTATACAAGGATAAGCTGGAAATAATTGGGGGGGGGAATTACAGAGGGTCATTATTATTATTTAGTTTATTTGTTACATGCCACTAATGGGAAGCAAGGTTTATTTTTTTGTTTGGATTCCAAAGGACAAAGGTCACTTGTTTTGCCCAAAGGCTCAAGCTTTAATCATCAGTGAAGTTATTTCCCTGGTTCCAGCCCTGTCCTTTCCAGGATGTGTGTCCTGCTATTTGAACCATTCCTTTAGTTGAATAGAATTAGTTAAGCTGAAGTTCATGTCCTGAACTGCACCCAAAGATGCATGATTCTGTTTTAAAAACAAAGCTTTGAGTTTTTGGGCAGCTTTAGTCTCCTTGAAGAGATGAGGAATACATAGGATCCCTGAATCTGCGTATTTTATTCCTAGACCTGAACAGGTTGTGCCTTTTCATGCTACTGGGATAGCAGGATTGTACTGTCTCAGTGTTTCTGTGCTCATGAGGAATCTCACTATTGCAAAACCCGTAAGTAGCTGCACATCAGGAACTATCTGAAATTTTGTGGAGCAAGATTCTACCTGGCCTAATCTTGACTGGTCCAGTCAGAGAAGCAGGCTGGGGCTGGCACAGCTCAGACAGACCTCCTTTGTTGAGAAAACCTGCTAATTTTTATGAGGTACCTTTGAGGTACCTTAAGCTTATCTCCTTCCAGGTGAAAGCGTCTATCAAACATCCTCTTTTTTGTCTAGATTGGACCCTAAATCTCTCCTTCATATGGTACAAAAGTAGGAGCACATGAAAAAAACTTGCAGTGTATCCAGATTTTTTGCTGTCTAATGTGCCTTTGTATTGTGAGAGTGAATTTAGAAATCACTTGTTTCGAAACCTAAAACTTTGCTGTAGCTTCATAACACCAAAGGTTTACCAAAGAGTTTGTATTCCCTGTGTGAATGAGTTGTGCATTTCAACCCAACATTTAAGTTCAGAGCTCTAACAGTGCTGTTACTGTAAGGTCTTTGTAGTTTCATGCTCAGTTGGAAATGGCTTCTCAACTTTTGTAACTCCTACTCAAGTTTTGCAAAGAGGGTCTTGAATGCAGATACA